TCACTGCAGCAGCCAGATCTAAGGAACGAGAACTGCAGGAAAGTGGAAAACATTCGAAGTCAGATGCTGAAGGACTGTTTGTTGAAAGAGGGAGATCAGATTCCAGACAAGGTAAAACTGGAAACAAGTCGTGGAAAGGAAGGTCAACTAGCAGGCATGGCAGGTCGAAGTCTAGACCTCGAACGAACAAGAACAGTAAGGGATGTTTTCATTGTGGAAAAGAAGGCCACTGGAAAAGAGACTGCCCAGACAGAAAACAAGAAAACTCAGCAAACCTCGCAACTGAACCAAAACAACCACTGGTATTAACTGTGAGCACAGTCGATACAAAAGAACAGTGGGTAATGGACTCAGGTTGTTCGTTTCATATAACTCAAAACAAAGAGTTTATGTTTGACTTCGAGGAGTGCAGTGGCGGAAAGGTGCTAATGGCAAACAACACAGACTGCGACATAAAAGGGATTGGAAAAATTAAAATCAGAAATCCAGATGGGTCTAAGGTTGTTCTCACAGAAGTCAGATACATGCCAGATATGAGCAGGAATTTAATCTCCTACGGGATGTTGGAAAAGGCCGGCTGCAGATACGAAGGAAAAGATCATATAGTCCAATTTTACAAAGGTAATGAGAAAGTAATCTCAGGAAAATACCACCAGGGCCTATACTATCTCCAAGGAAACGTGGTCAAGGGAGAGGTTAACATATCAGAGGAAACGAACAGTATGACCAGACTGTGGCACTCACGGCTTGGACATATAGGACACAACGGCTTGAATATCTTAGCTAAGGGAGGTTATATACCTCAGAAAGATGTGGGTACACTCAAGTTCTGCGAAGAATGTGTATTGGGGAAGTCACACAAACAGAGTTTCAAGCCGGCAAGACATGTTACAAAAGGCATACTGGACTATGTGCACTCCGACCTATGGGGCTCTCCATCAACTCCAAACAGCCTAGGCGAGTGTAAGTACTTTGTAACGTTTATAGATGACTACTCAAAGAAAGTCTGGATTTTCTTTCTGCAGGCTAAAAACGAAGTTTTCTCAAAGTTTAAGGAGTGGAAAGTAGCAGTGGAGACTCAGACAGAAAGGAAAATTAAGTGTCTAAGAACAGACAATGGGTTGGAGTTCTGTAATACGGAGTTCGATAAGTTCTGCAGGCAAGCTGGTATTAAAAGGCATCGAACATGTACGTACACTCCACAGCAAAACGGGGTATCAGAAAGAATGAACAGAACTATCATGGATAAAGTAAGGTGTATGTTGACAGAGACAGGATTGGATCAAAGTTTCTGGGCAGAGGCAGCATCAACAGCTGTATATTTAATCAACAGATCACCAAACTCATCTCTGAACTTCAGGCTGCCAGAACAGGTATGGATGGGATCCAAACCAGATTTAAAACACTTGAAGCGTTTTGGGTGTTCTGCTTTTGTACACGTAACGGAAGGGAAGACAGAACCTAGAGCATTAAAAGGTTTTTTCGTGGGGTACCCATTTGGAACAAAAGGGTACAGAGTATGGATTCCTGAAGAAGGAATATGCAGAACAAGCAGGAACGTAGTGTTCAATGAAAATGAAGTATTCAGAGACACAAAAGAGAAAAGAAAGGATGATGAAACAGACGTTGAAGCTACAGGAAAAACAAAGAACAGAACACGCAAGGTTACTTTCAGCGATGATCTTATTCGAGGTCCTACCAAGACCAAGGCTAAACATGAAGCAGATAAGTCAAGCAACGAACACACATCAGAAACAGATACTGACTCAGAAAGCTCAGAGGAATCAGATACAGAAAAATTACAGGAAGTTGACAGTGAGACAGAATCAAGTGAGCGTGAACAAACGCTTGACAACTATGTGTTGGCCAGAGACAGAGAAAGACGCAAAAACATCAGGCCACCCTCACGATACGAAGATGGCAATTTCGTGGCGTATGCTCTTAACACGGTGGAAGATCTAGAAGTAACTGAACCTAGGTCATACGCCGAGGCTATGAGAAGTAAGCAAAGTAAACGCTGGAAGATTGCTGCTGAGGAAGAGATGGAATCACACAGAAAGAATCGAACATGGGATCTGATAGACAAACCGGAAAAGGGTAAACTAATAGGCTGTAAATGGATCTTCAAGTTGAAACCAGGTATACCAGGTGTTGAAGATGAAAGGTACAAAGGCCGGGTAGTTGCCAAAGGGTACTCACAGACAGAGGGAATAGACTACAATGAAATCTTCTCTCCAGTGGTGAAGCATGTCTCGATCAGATTCATGTTATCTGTGGTGGTGAATCTAGACTTTGATCTAGAGCAAATGGACGTAAAAACAGCTTTCCTACATGGAACACTAGAGGAAAGAATCCTAATGACTCAACCAGAAGGGTTCGTCAGGCCAGGAGATGAGAATAAAGTCTGTTTGCTCAGGAAATCTCTATACGGATTAAAACAGTCACCTAGGAGGTGGAATCAGCGTTTCAACAGTTTCATGAAACACCAACTGTTTGAGAAAAGCAGCAGGGATCCGTGTGTCTACTTCAGGGACACTCAAACCGATAAAGCAGTATATCTACTACTTTATGTTGATGATATGTTGATAGCTTCGGGAAATAAAAAGATAATTCAGGAAGTAAAAGACAGATTAAGCAGTGAGTTTGAGATGAAGGATCTAGGCAAGGCTTCAAGAATTTTGGGGATGGACATCACAAGAAATAGAAAGGAAGGTACATTGATCTTATCTCAGGGAAGATATATTGAAAAAGTGTTAAAGACGTTTGGAATGCAAAATGCAAAGTCAGTTACTACGCCTACATCAGCTCAGTTCAGTCTAAGAAGTTTAATAGATGAGGAATGGAAAAGGGAAGAGCAATACATGGAAGACATCCCATATGCAAGCGCAGTAGGGAGTCTAATGTATGCGATGGTAGGATCCAGACCAGACTTGGGGTTTGCAGTGGGATTTGTGAGCAGATTCATGAGCAAACCAAGCAGAGAGCATTGGTCAGCAGTAAAGTGGGTTTTGAAGTACCTACAAGGAGCATCGAAACTAAATCTAACATTCAAGAAGAATTCTAAGTTCATAATAGAAGGCTTCTCTGACTCTGACTATGCTACAGATCGAGATAGGAGAAGGTCAGTAACTGGATACGTCTTTAAGATAGGAGGAAACACGGTATCTTGGAAATCATGCCTTCAGTCGGTAGTTGCTCTATCAACCACCGAGGCAGAGTATATGGCTCTACATGAAGCAGCTAAGGAAAGCATGTGGTTAAAGGGCTTATGCAACGAGCTAGGATTTAAACAAAGAAATGCAACAATTCATTGTGACTCTCAAAGTGCTATAGCCCTAGCAAGAAATCCAGTGTACCACGAAAGGACTAAACAGATCGACACTAAGTTCCATTTCATACGAGATCTAGTTGAGTCAGGAGATGTCATCCTACAGAAGATACACACTACGAAAAATCCTGCAGATTTCCTAACTAAAACCGTACCTGGTCCGAAGTTCCAGCTCTGCTGTGAGCTTCTCAACGTCCAGTAGGTGAAGGAAGAACAACCCAGGTAACTCCAGAGTGAAATCATATGCCTCACAAAAGAGTCCAAGGAACATAGAAGAGGATCAGTGTGAGATAACATGGGATATCATTCAACGTGTTTGAAAAAGAAGTTACCTGGAGAAAGAGATGGAGGCGTCTTAACACACACGTACTCCAGGTGGAGCATCTACACAAGAAATCAGTGTTGACTTCAAGACGACATTTATTCGGTTCACAGAATAAATTGTCAACAAAAGGCGATGAGAAAGGTACTACTTACTATTGAAATTGTCAAGGAGCAAGCAAAGGAAAATGTGGAGCTCTGTTGACATCAATCTGAGATCAAACAGTCATACTTCAGTGGAATGATGATGTCTTGAAATCAGATTATCCAAGAGTATAGTTACTGCTACGACAAGGAAAAGTCGAGTTGGGTTACCTTAATACCGCAAGAAGATCTCAGACACCAAAAGTCTGAACAGGCCAAAGAAGGCGCATCACCGGAGACAGGTATATCGGACGAGGTGGAGCTTGTTGAAGAAACTCAAACCGGAGAAGTCTGAATACATGCAAACAAAGGAAAAAATCGGAGCAGAGACTCAAGGTACTTTCGGAGTTTGAGATGTGGTTCGAAACGCATCTGAGACTTACCTCGGAGAATCGACGGAGGAACGAGTGAAATGCTGGAAGTGAGTCGGATCTGAAATTCGATGTTTAGAGTTGAGTTGTTTGTGGCTGTCGGTGATTACTCTTCGCAAAGAAGACAAGAAGGATAAGGTTTTGTCCTTGGAAGTATATTGGGCTTGAGCAAAACAGGTGGAGATTTGTTGAGTTTTGGCCCAAGACAATATACATATCTTAAACGGGCTCAGAGTTATGTTGAAGCCCAGTCAGCTGATGGATAAACACATCTCCGTAGAAGTCGTTGTTGGATAACTCTCAAGGCGTCAGGTATATATTCAGCATCAGAGAATCAGGTTGTGTTACGCGGAAGCTGCAGAAGAGAATCAAGACAAGACGTTAGGGTTATAGCAAGAGTAAACTACTTTGTTCTAGCTAAAGGTTTTCCCTTTGTAGTCTTGAATTCCTATTGAGGTTGAACACAAAGTGTGTTGTAACCTAAAGTCTATCACAAGTTATAAGTGATTAGGCTATTGTAACTTCTTGATCATAGTGAAGTTTGGGAGCAACAGTTCTCCCACGAGACGTACCAGTTTGAGGCTGGGAACTCGTTAAATCGCTTGTGTCATTTACTTATTGTCTTTGTGCAAGTGGTTGAGGTGTTGATCAAGGCGTGATCACTGAAATTAATCCTTACATTGGAAGGAAATATCAGTTTCAGGAAAAGAAAATCTATATTAAAAACACTTACAAAAGTAAGAAAGTATTATTTTATTGCTACAAGCGCATATTATACCACGTGACCAAATGAAAAGCTAAAATACGCACTCTCACCTATTGCCGGGATATTATTTATTCCTTTTAATCCTTTTTGTTAATGCCAGTGTTTAAGGCTACTAAACCCATCTGATCTGAAGTTTAAAAAGCAGAGTTGTTCCATTTCCAGAAAGAAGTCTTGCAAATCAAAGCCACGAGCTTTCGCTTCTCCCACCGGAAAGTCTCTTCCTTTATTCCCTTAACTCGATCTTGGCCTTTTCGTGTCTCTGTCTTGTTTTGATTATCAGTTAATATCACAAGTGGGTTTCCCTTCAATGGCTGGGAACGATGAAGTTAATCTCATTGAGAGCAGAGTAAGCTCGTTGCTTCTTTCTTGGCTTTTCATTTTATACTGTAGAAAGTTTCTATTTATATAGAGTCCATGATTTTGAGTTATGTTCTTGATGTTGTTATGTCTTTGCTCTTGTGTTTGAGAAGACTTCTATGGTGTTTTGATTTGGTTACATCAATTAAAACAATAAATACATTGAAAGCTTAAGACTTTAAATCTATTTAGGTGATGAAAGTTTGATGGGTCTCTCTGTTTTTGGGTACTCTCTGTTTTGATTAAACTTACGGTTGAGTAAAAGCTTTGTCTTTTGATGGTTCAATCGAATCCAAAGAAGCACCTTTCGTGGTTTCTATATGATCAGCTTAAACCCTTTTAATCTACTAACTAAAATTCTGATTCTTTTGATCTTCATATTGATGCAGACAGTGGTTCCTCTCAATACATGGGTTCTAATCTCAAACTTCAAACTAGCCTACACTCTCCTCCGTCGACCAGATGGAACCATAAACCGACACTTAGCCGAGTTTCTTGACCGTAAAGTCACCGCAAACGCCAACCCTGTCAACGGAGTTTTCTCATTCGATGTCATAATAGATAGAAGTATCAATCTCCTAAGCAGAGTCTACAGACCAGCTTATGCAGAGGGACCTAGACCTAGTGTGTTAGATCTCGAGAAGCCAGTAGATAGCGAGGTTGTCCCTGTTATATTATTCTTCCATGGAGGCAGCTTCGCTCACTCCTCAGCCAACAGTGCTATCTACGACACGCTTTGTCGCAGACTCGTTGGTGTATGCAAATGCGTTGTTGTCTCAGTGAACTATCGCCGAGCACCAGAGCATCCTTACCCTTGTGCTTACGACGATGGCTGGATTGCTCTCAACTGGGTCAGCTCAAGAACTTGGCTCAAGTCCAAGAAAGACTCAAAGGTTCATATCTTCTTGGCGGGAGATAGTTCAGGAGGGAACATAGCTCATAACGTGGCTTTAAAAGCGGGTGAAGCGGGTTTAATAAACGTTTTGGGAAACGTTTTGCTTAATCCTATGTTTGGTGGAGAGGAGAGGACTGAGTCTGAGAAACGTTTGGATGGGAAGTACTTTGTGACGGTTAGAGATCGTGATTGGTATTGGAAAGCTTTTTTGCCTCAAGGGGAAGATAGAGAGCATCCTGCTTGTAACCCGTTTAGTTTGAGAGGGAAGAGCTTACGAGGGTTGTGTTTTCCTAAGAGTCTTGTGGTTGTGGCGGGTTTGGATTTGATTCGAGATTGGCAGTTAGGTTATGTTGAAGGGCTTAAGAAAGCTGGTCATGAGGTTAAGCTTATGCATTTGGAGAAAGCTACTGTTGGGTTCTACCTTTTGCCTAATAACGTTCATTTTCATAATGTTATGGATGAGGTTTCTGCGTTTGTAAACGCGGAAAATTGAGGGAAATTTGAGGTTATTTTAGGAGAGCCAATATTAGGAGGTTCGGAGCCGAAGCTTGTAATCCCTTGGGTCCGAAACCACAACATATAATATTAGTTTCGTTCCAGCGGTCTTTTTGTTAGTCTTTCTACTAACAAGTAAGTGAATGTATTGCTTGTGTAATATTTGGCTTGTAGCCCTAACTTAAAGCTGATTTTTAAGCATTTGAGTGATACTTTAATGATATGTATAAATGTATTTATGAATTACTTCGAGAATGTATGTTGGAGAATTGTATAAAAAAGTTGTTAAGAGTTTTACTTTTACATAATGGCATTGATCAACTTTCAAGAAGCTAAAGCAACCTCTCGAATGTGATCAAGATCTCTCAAGTGCTTAGTTGAGTTATACTCTATGCTATCTAATATTTCTTCAGAGTATGTTCGTTGCATCATCTTTCTCTTGGCTTCTTTTGGAGTCGCAACGAAACTTTCTCGACCTAATAATAATTCCACAACCTGAATACATTTTAATATACTATAATCAAACAAGAATCGAACACAAACTTAGCTGTTAACTAATAACGCAAGGGATAACCTATATCATATTGTACCTGGCTCATGCGGGGTCTTAGAAGAGAAGACTGCTCGATGCATAAAGAAGCAGTGGAAGTTAACCGGTTAAGCTCATCACGATCATACTCATCTCCAAGCGACGGATCCACCAATTGCTTTATCTCTTTCCTCTCTAGTAACGGTTTGGCCTGTGTCCGTATAGAAAATCATACAATTACGTGTGACAAATTGGTTAAAGGAATGTACAATTGACTGTGAACCGGTTTGGTTAAGCCTCAAATGTCAAACCGGTTTGTGTACTCACCCATAAGACAAGGCTCTGCTGAGACTCGTCAAGAGCAGGATGGCCGGTTATGAGCTCCAAGAGAAGAACTCCAAAGGAGAAAACATCAGTCTTCTCATCAACAATGCCATGCATGAAATATTCAGGCGCAAAGTACCTAATCAAAACGTTACCGTACGTTTAGAAAACATTCTTAAACAATGATATACAAAACGTTACCCGAATGTTCCTTCGAATTTGGATACGTTGTGATGCGTCAACTGTTTTGGTAGCCATTTGGCTAAACCGAAATCGCAAATCTGCGGTTGAAAATCCTCGGTTAGGAGAATGTTGTCGGCTTTGATGTCTCGGTGAATGATTCTTCTTTGACAACTCTCATGTAGATACATTAGTCCATCTGCTGTTCCTAATGCCACCTTGTAACGTCTGCTCCAAGTCAGCTTATTTTTCGAAGGTCCTTCAAAGATTAAACAGAACATTTAGTACAATTCAGTGTTATAAAAGTAGGTAACAAATTTTCTATAAAGCGTCTAATTACCGCCTAACGATTTCGCAGTATGGTATTATCAGAGTTAGGTTTAAAGGTGGATGTATATACCATGGAGGAGAGTGCCTAGGCTTCCAAGAGGAGATAGTCTGAAAACAAGAAACATTCCACCCTCAGTGCAACAACCGATGAACTTGGCTGTGTTTGGATGATCAACATGAGCTATAATCCCTAGTTCGGACAAAAACTCAGCTGTTTGCTCGTCTGGTGTGCCTTTGGTGAGACGTTTCACAGCTATTAGCTTCCCTTCTGGTAGAATGCCTTGGTAAACCTCTGCGTAACCGCCTCTCCCGATTATGTTTTCTGCAAACGTTTAGTAACGTTTTAAAATCTCAGTCACATTAGCAACCAAACAATGCCTAAAATGCTAAAAAAGATTAAAAGATGACTCGATAAAAAAAAATTTTAAAAATGTAAAAGCATAATTAATGGGGAGTTCTTAGAACGGGGCTCATATCGAAATATAAGAAACCATCTCTTAAGTTTTAACTAAACAAAAAACTAAGAACCAGCTCTTAAATACAACTCTAAGAACTCTCCATTAATCATGCTCTAAGAAACCTATAAAAACATAGTTTATAAGTAGTGTGTTATGAAGACAAGTTAAGAAGACTCGTTACCAGGGTTGAAATTGTCAGTTGCTATTTCTAGGTCAGTGATTGAGAAGCTGTGTAGAGATGATTGGAAGTCATAGATATCATGAAGGTTCAGATCATCGACGTTTGGATCTGCGTTTTTATTGCGTTTGGAGATCAAGACTGGGGCGCAGCTTAAAGGAGGGAAGGAAGATAAACGTTTCATGGACCTGCGTTTCCAAATCTTGAAGAACTTGCCCCAATTCGAAGAAGCTCTATGATTCTTGCAACGCACGTCTGCGTCTGCGTTTTCTATAGCTTCTCTATTTTGAGGAGGATCTTCTGAGGAAGAGATGGAGCATCGGTTTAAGCATGCTTCTAGAGCCCCTCTAGGTGATTCAGGATCTTGCTTCTCTTTTTCTACCTGTAGACATCTCAGATCTGAGAGAGAGAGACAAGAGAATCGTGAAACGTTTGGATAAACTAGGTTTCTTGGTGTACAAGCAATGATATATATTAGAGGTTACCGTGAGCTGAAGCTGAATTCATGAGCGTAGCATTGGTTCTTTTGTGTTTTGGTGTATGGTTCAGGTCGTTTGAATCTTCTTCAGTGACATAACTTGAATGTTTTGAGTCGTACCTGCAAGAGTAGTAGCAGGAAAGAAGATTCAGACAAGACTTAACCAAATATGAGAGAAAGAAAAACATAGAATTAATCTGAGTAGTTACATTGGAAGAACACAACATAAAGGAGAAGCTTGGTTGCTTTTGTCTACCACCATGAAAGTTTAAAGATTTATCAGAAACCTAAAAATTTAAAGACAGAGGATCAGAGAAAAGAAATAAAAGAAGGAAGTTTTGAACTTGGTGTTGGTCTCGAGACACCCGAAACAAAAGGTTTTGTCTTTGTGTTTTAGATTTGATTACTAATTTAATTGCTTCTTTGTTGACCAATGAATATATCAACTAGTTTTCTTGTTAATCTATTATAAATTAGGCTCTAGTACGACTAAATCCTATACATAGCAATGCTTTTGATTTTCTTTTTTTAGGATTCAAATTCTGAGTTCTTTTAAAGAAACGGATTTATAGATTGTTTTAAAATCAGACTTGAGTAAACTGTATATCTATCTAACTATTTTCTTTGTATTTTTAAGTAATAAATAGATTACTCATTTTTAATATATTTCTTTTTGGCAACTTTCTTGTGAATACCTAATTAAAATCATTTCCGTGTGTATCAGTACATGATGCATAAAGTCTGCATTAAAACCTGCAATAC